CGGCGGCGATCGCCCGGCGCACCACTACCATCGGCGGCCCCGTATCGTCGCTCATTAGTTCCGGGCTCGGGTACTCCCATTAGGGCATCACAGCTGCGCCGGCTAATGGATGCGATCAGCGTGCCGTGCGGCAGCTGTGAATCCTTCAGGTGTGGTGTATCCTGCATTTGGATACAACACGTGTGATGTACCGACTCATGGCAGTACATTCCTCTTTGTAGTCTGCAGTGACCGTCCTGATTTAATGCGGACAGTTTGAAGATTGGAAATCCGGGCAAATGCGGATTACGTTTGGGGATATTAAATCCTGACCTATCGTATAATCACTAACCAGCTTATAAGTAATAGCGATAGAGCTTAAACTGTGAACGGCTAATGGAATCTAATTAATGTTTCTGCAACCCATAAGATTAAATATAAATGCTTTTTGACATAGCTTCATATCCGCACTCACTGACATTCTGTTACTGCCCCCTAGCCACGTCTCATTATGTCCCTCTCGTTTCACCCCATCTGTCGACCCCGCCGCTCTGTGTCACACTGGGTCCCGTCGACCGGTGACCGGCCTGCCCAGGTCGATAGCCGGGCGACCGGCCAGCATGTGAGCAGTACGGGACTCAACTAACCAACGACCGTCACATAAAGACCTCAGTCACAATGATATGTGGGTCGTGCACAATGGGCGGAATAACTGTGAAGTGAATGTGAAGGTTATGTGTGAATAGCATCAAAACGATGAGTGGTGTAGTTTGCTATTGTTCCGGAGATTCTCGACTGGTTCTGAAGAGAGACCCTAACCGGCAATTCTGCGGAATCGGATGATGCGCGCTGCTGTGAAGGCTGAGGAGTTGGGATCGATAAATTATGAGCCGAGGTTACCGCCGGTCCTGGCAGCGCTCATGTTTATAAATGAGACACTCCTTGTCGCAACAGCGGCAATAACACGGAGACCGAGATCAATCAGCGCGACCGGAGGCGGGCCCGCCTGCAAATGAAATGAGACAGCGCCACGGGCCCAGCGGCCGGCTAAACACGCCCGATTTACACTGCAACGGGGGCAGACGGCAACCGGCTCAGCCCAGCCTCAGTGCCAGGGGAGACAGTGTGATATTCTGAGCACACGCTTCAGACGGGGTAAGGTGACATTTATGATAAAAGCGAACAGCAACGTGATCTCCAGTATCGATGATGGCTCATAAAAACACCAAGTGGGCGAGATGTCACAACAGAGCGAATGTTAGCGCTGTACAACTGCACACTGAATTCAAATCAGCATAATGCATTCAGCACCACTCTATAGAACGAGTTTGAACGTCTATCCATCACCGCGGCAATGTGCAGTTGTCGGCTCCGACGTCTGTTACACGCTGCAAAGTAGCACCACGTCGTGCCGTGCCAGCCTGTTGTTGGTTTGTACCAATGGCACCAATATGCATTATACACCAGTCAGTGTCGTTAGGAGTTATTCCCCGCCACTCCATGCCCTTCTGTCACCCACCGCTCCAGGTGATGATAACCCCACGTGTCCGCACGGGCTCGGCGTGCCACGGGTTGGCGGATTGGCACGTGGAGCTCGCTCTCCCTCGCTGGGCGGCACGGTGTCGAGGTGTTTGCCGTCCACCGAGGGTGGCTCAGGGACCACCCGCTGTATCAGCCATCCCTCCCCCTTCCTCCACCCCTACTCCCCTCCCTTCCCGTCCCTCGGGTTTGGGGTTTGTGGGGGAGGGAAACCGGATGGTGGACCGCGGAGAATCCGGCACTAATCAACCCGCCGGGTAAACGTAACAGCAGATACTTGGCTGTGCTATCCACAAGTTCCAGCAAAAGGGAAGCAGCGTTCCATGGTATGTCGAGAAAGTCTGGAATGAGATCTGATGACCTCATTGAAAACATGCCTTTGTTAACAGTTCGTATGCTGTCGTTGGTTGTTCTTTTTCCACGTTACTGATTCAGCGGAAGAAGGCTGTGATAACAGTGGGGCCTCTATCAGATACCTAACCACGTCTCTGCTGACCGGTCGTCCCACGATCATTACGAACAAAACCGAGACGACAGCCACAAATTCCCGCCTCCCTCCCTCCCCCTCCCCTCTCCGATGTCACGGTCCGGCGCCGGGGACGAGAGCCGCCGACCGCAGCGCCCCTGGCGGCGGCCTCACACAACTCTGGGACCGGAGCGGAGCGGGCGGCTGGGCCACGTTCCGGAGGTAAACAGGCTCGACACCGACCGCCGCCCCCGGCGCGCCGTCGACACGCGGGGCGATCGACGACCGACGATGCGGGCCGCACGTGTGCGTCGGAGTCGACGGCCGACGGCGGGGGAGGGACACGGACACCGCCGGATGGGAGTGTGGGCTGCCAATGGGCGCGTGTGCAAGACGGCAATGAAGTAAAAAAGAGACAGAGGAAACAGAGTTGTCATTTCGTAAGTGAAGACATTTATATGAATTCGCTATGGCACACATTCGGCGATTCATTGGTGCAGCCAATGATAAGTTGACGCTGCATTACACACCGTGAAATGCAGCATCCGTTATGTCGCCTCGCTCCCAGAGACCGCAGCGCCGCGTGAAAGGCGTGAAAACTAATGTGACGCTCACGTGCATATGGAGTGCTGGAACTAAAACCGCAAAATGCACATCACGTTAAGATACATCGACGTCATCAATTAAAGCAGCAGTAGTGTCTTACAAGTTGCAAATAGCGCTGAGGGTATTAACCCCATCAGTTTTGTCGCTAGAAACGTTTAACGGTTGTGTAGGCTAAAACCGACCGTCTTGGTGGGGTTTCTGTTTTAATGTCGACCCGCCGTTCCAACTCCACTGCTCTCCGTTGGAGAGTCTTCGCCAAAGAGCAGTTAGGTACTTCGCTGCCACTCTGTCCTCCGCGCTCTCCTTCCGGCTTCCACCCTATCGGTTTTCCGACGGGAACTGACTGCCTGACGCCGTCAGCCTATATATCGCAGAGTGGAAGCGGGTGACCAAATACAAATACTGCAAGAAAAGGAAATGGAGTGGAATCGTCCGGACAAATCAGGATGAAAATAAGCGAAATTGGTGACTAAATCGGATGAAAACAATTAATGTGGTCTGGAGGAAACGAAGGATATTTATTAGGCGTCGCCGTTATACGTTCTACAGCGTATTTACATATGTCGACATAAAATCGCATCAATTCTTCGCATCATTGCAATGATGATGCACATGTTCATGGGAGTGAAAAAGTGGTAAGATAGCAGCGTAGATACGTTTTCCTTATCTCTTTGGGAATTACATTTTTCAGCATGGGAGTGTGGGCTGCCAATGGGCGCGTGTGCAAGACGGCAATGAAGTAAAAAGCACACGTCCGGGACGTCACAATAACACCCATAACTAAACCCGGTAATGGCACGCACGTACTGACTATTTTATACGTTTTTTTTATTTCAGGCGTAACCTAATACGCGTGCAAAAGACCTGCTAATCTCTAAAAAATCACAGGAATATGATGAGCATTGTGATGCAAACAAATATCCTAACAAACACTATTATCTCATCAAATAATGCTTCATCCCAGTAACCGTAACTAACAATCGAATGAGCTCCGCTCAGCCTCCGCTAAAACATCCCATCTTCTTTTGATCAGTTTCTGAAAGAGAGGCAATTATTTGATCGATTTGCTCCCGGGGTTTGGCCGGCGGCGGCGGCCTGTCACAGGCAGTGTTCGATAACACGGCTCGAGTCATTCAATTCGGTCGCCATGACGACGAGCTCACGCTATATTCGTTTGAGCAACGCTTGGCTGGCAGCTTTTCACCGGCACCATGATTGGTTCCGATTAGTTATCGGTCTTCACAAACATGCCCACTCTCTCCCCCCGGGCCGCCGTTCTGTTTGCCCCATTCCTCGCTCGCTGACGCTCCGCAGACACGTGACAGGCACCCCTCCCCTCCTCTCGCCTCCCCTCGCTAAGCGCTCCCTCCGGCGGTCCCCTTCCGCCGTTCAGTGGGACCCATCCCTCCGCTTCTCCCGGCCACGCCATCCAGCCTCTGTAAACGGGACCGGTTACGAGGAGGAAACGCAAAGTGCAGTGGCAGTTTCACAGCCGAATGGATGGAATGATTACAGAGAGAGGCAAGTATGGTGCACGGAAAGTTAGGAGGCCTTGAAAAGCCTTCATAATATATATTCGTTGTTGTCTTGAAAGCCTTCATAATAAAAAGACCTAGCAAAAAAAAAACGTCAAACAAAGCAAACATTATGCCTCTGCCGACAAAATAAAATAATCAAATTAGCCTGCTGTTGAACTGCTGTTGTTCCTTGACCTTTCCTTCCCTATGTTGAGCAGTGACATGTGTTAGGTCAGGTGTGGGCGTCCCATCAGTTCACCCCACTGCGGGTGACCTTTGGCCCGGCATCCTGCTGCTCCCAGGTCCCAGGCCAGCCACCAGACGTCACCACCGGCTGCGTGCCGCCGCACACCGCCGGCGGCTGATGACGCCGCCGCCGCCGGACCCCCCGGCTGCACGCGAGACCCGGCCCCCTCCCAACAGAGTCCCCGCGGACGACAAAAGGCCACCAGCGGCCGCAGGTGCAATACAGCAGTGAACTTTCAGCTGCCCGAGATTCATATCAAATAGCAAGTCATCCAATAGACTTTCCAACGAGCAGAGCCACTGGCACACTGCCTTGGTGCAGCCCTGCTTCTCATGAAGCGATCAGTCCCAGTGCCATTGAAAATAAACTCGGCGCCGCCTCTGAGCCAGGCGCGCAGGCCGGCCGGGTCCGGTCGGATCAGCGCGGTTAATCGACGCCCGGCTGGTGTTTTGACACGCCACACAACCACTCGGCGACCGATCGGACGGCCTCTCGACATCGAGCGGCCGGCACGGCACGACCGCCAGCTCGGCTTTCACCGCGGCCGCCGCCGATCACGATCCGCCACACGGCCCGGTACACGAGCGCTCCGGGTCCGGACTCACCCAGCTGAATCCTGAATCCCACAGATAAACTCAGGACTTACCCTTCTGAAGTCCTGGATCGTGCAGATAAAGTACGGCTGATCCTTCTGCTGGCTTTCGATGTAGACGGAATCTGAAACGGACAGAAAAGGGTAGGTTAGTTTGACATGAAAAACATGGGTCAAACGAGTTGGAAACACAGGTCAAAACGGTCGAATAACAGGTCGAATGGCGCGGGAACAGAGGTCCAGCGGGTCGAGAGGGCGGCCCTCCGGTCGAACTATGCTCCGCCCCTGTCGTGTGGGACAGATTGTCGGCATATAGGTCGACGAAGCGCGGCGCCGTCCCGGCTGGCAGCCGCCACACGTCAGGCTTTAATTAAAGCAGCTCTGCAGAGCGCCGCGCCGCCTCCGTGGCTAGCTATACGTCGCCGGGGCCGGCAGCGGTACAGCTCGGTACGTCGGTCCGAGTCGCCCGGCCGGCCGGCCCGCGGGCGGCGGGCGGCGGAGACGCGACGGCCGGCTTCCGTCGCTCCCAAGGTGAAACCTGGGAGAGGGCGCGGCTCACGCGTCCGTCGCTCGGACGCCGCGCAGATTGATGGTGACTCGAGCGATCGAGGTCGCACTGTCCTCTGTTTACCGAGGCCGGCTGACGCGACTACAGGCGCGAACCGTGTCGGCCGTAGCGACGCACGAGGCCCGGTGGCATCCACCAGCCACGGACGGACGGACGGCACTTCGCGTGAGCAGGACACCATCTGGGGAGAAACCGAGAGAGCGCGCGGCCGCCGTCCGTCACGCCGGGTCACACCGGGGCCGGTCAGAAAGTCACCTCCAGCAGAGGCGCGCCCGAGGGTCGTCCTATCAGTAATTGGTGACAGCCGCAGGTAATGCCTCCGGAGAGCGTCCAATGGTCGCCGATGGGCGCTGGCGCACATCGTCCTGCCTGTAACTCGCCGACGGAGCAGCCATTTCCTCGCCCCACGCCCGGGCCGATCGGCTGCGATCAATGCATTAGACACAATGACTGCAGTCTGTCCCGGCCCGGCTTCGGGTGCGGTTATTGAGCTGCCAGTGGCCATGCAAGTGTGACACTGGATGATGGCTGCACCAGGAGGAATTTGCGTCAATTAATGTCGCTGCCAGCTGATCGATAACGGCGACGACCGCTCCTTACCACACGTGGTGATAGAGGAAGAACTAGTTGTTTTCAGCCGAGCGGCTTTCAGGCGCGTTGTCAGATTTTGATGGCTAGATTTATTTGGAAACAATAGCTCATTTTTAATTACTTTAGGAGCGTTGTTTATGTTAATTAAGTGGACTTTATATTCAACAACGAACCTTTCAACAAGTTATTAGTTTCATCTCGATCGATCATACGACCATGGCCGAACAGCTCGAGAAAACAGCCAATCTTATGAGACTTAATGAGACTTAATGCTGCGAAAACACAGATGCTTGTGATCGGTACCCCAGCGATGCTTCGCAATTTGCCGCCTGTCACGCTGACTTTCTGCTCTACCACCATTACAGAGTCAGAAACTGTTAAAAATCTAGGAGTGACGATCGACCGTCATCTCAGCTTTGTGTCCCATGTAGACGGTGTGGCGCGGAAATGTACCGGGATGCTGACAGCGCTACTGCACGCTCGTCACGTTATACCGCGGTCAGCACTGAAGCCGATAGTTGAAGCCCTGGTTGTATCTGTGCTACGGTACTGTCTGTCGGTGTACGGCTCGTGTGGTGAGGTGCAGTTAGGACGGCTGCAAAAAGTTATAAACTTTTGTGCACGCGTTGTGTCCGGTCGGCGACGACGTGATAGCGTGGCGGCTGTCATCAAGCAGCTGAAGTGGTTGACTGCCAAGGATTTGGTAACATACCACACAGTGAGTGCTGTCGAGCGTATCTTTGTGTCGGAGCAGCCGGAGTACCTCAAAGGTACGCTGGGGCAGCGGGCTAGCCAGCGGCACCGGCACAACACTAGGCAGGCCAGCTACCTCACCCTCCCCTTCATTCGAACGGAGTCGGGAAGACGTAGATTGTGCTACCGAGGTGTGACTCGTATGAACGAACTTGGAGTAGAACCAGGGACATTGTCGTACCGGGCGAACATCCGAAAGGTGCTGCTGTCTAAGCAACAGACATGAGCAATAGCATGTATGGGTGCGTGTGTGAGAATTATGCGTGCTGCACACTGTTCCTCGTTTTGTATCACACTATCATGACGTGGACATGTGAAAAGCCTCACTATTGAGAGGACCTTGTCTGAATATATCTGTAATCTGTAATCTGTAATCTCCGCCCAGTCCCATCGATAATTATGAAGTGATAGCCGAATTCGGCTGCGGATGTCAGGCCCATCCATCTGGTGGTTTAACACAGCTCACATCTGTTTTGCGGCCGAGCATAACAGCTATATTTCATCGTGGACGGACGCCAGTGGCGCGGACAGAAGACGTCCCCATAAACTGGGAGGGCCGCTGGGCCACTGAGGCGCTGGTACGCTGGTCCGCTGGTCTGCTGGTCCGCTGTTCCGCTGGGCTACTGCCGTTCCACCGATAGATTCTGCTCGCCACGTTGGGACAGCACGGCCGGCTGCGACCGCGGTCCTGCCAGCTGCTACCCGGCTGCCCGCAGCCGCACTTTACGGCGAGCGAACATAAGTTTGGCAAGATGGCAAACAGTTGAGCCCAAATGAAAAGACAAGAAGATTCAGTTTCAAAACGATGCTGTTGAGCTTCCGAGCGAGGATGAAGGATAACAAGAGACGATCGGGCAGAGGGTGAACAGAGTGAGAAGAGAAAAGGAGCCAGAAGAGATGCATCGAAGGGACAGCGGACAACGAACAAAGCGAAACGTAGCTTTGACAGGATGCAAGGGAACGGGGAAAGATAAGGTGGAAAGGACGAAAGGGCTGAAGAGAGCGGGGTGGCTGCAGCCACCCCGCTCCATGGAGGAGTGGAAAGGACGGGAAACAGGAACGCAGCGAACAGGGAGGACAGACAAGGTCACTGTGGAGTGTGGCCGGACCGTGTCCGATGCCGCGGCGTCGGCCGGCGTGCCGCACATTCCACTGCGGCCCGACCGGCGCGGCCGGGCCACCCATCACCGCAGGATAGCTGCCAGGGGTGGCGACAGGCCGCGCACAGATTGGCAACATCAGCCGCCCGTGGGCCGTCCCTGGGTTGTATCGGCTGTCCCACATAGCCTCCCCTATCCGTGCTCAGCGTCCCCTAGGGTATATCCTCCCCAGTCACCTTTGATGGGTCTCCCACATTCCTCCCACGTTAGGCATACCCAATCCCCGCAGTTGAATCCTTGCTGCCTTTGTGGTCAAACCACTGAACTCTGGTCAAACTCACACCCTGAACTATCCCCAAAACCGACATTGAACCACGCGGTCAGTGGCCCTCCAGAGTCCAGAGCCGTTTAACGCGGACACGACGGGCCGCGGCTGACAGGTGGAGCAGAGGCCGACTCCCTACCTCCCTCCCTCCCTCCGTCCCTCCCTCGGCGCTCCCCGGCCCCTCCCCGCCGCCCCAGCCGACGCCGCGCGGCCGGCCGGCCAGGGCCGCGCGCCGCCGCGGCAGAAATATACAATCCAATGTGCGGCGCTCCCCGGCGGGAGATTTCGTTTCCGAGAGCTGATTGATGTCACAATCGAGAGAAGTTCCTCGCCGAGTGAGGTCATTGGAAGACGCCAGAACGACGAGGACAGGATCGTGTGAGAATGTCGGAGGCGACGACTGGAACGGACGCTCACTGGCGCACCACCGGAAAATGTTGGACCTCGGGTGTCACGCGCGTCAGCCGACCTGCTAACAGACAAGGACAAACTATAACAGCTGGGGCCGGACAGACTCGTGACCGGGCACTCGATAAGCCGCCGCAGCGCTACATGACAGCCGCATTTGTTGAGACGGCTGGCCTTATGCCGAACAGCGGCCTCCGTTGACGCAAATGGTCGATCGGACGCAGCGATACGCGGCGCTCGCAGGCCGCCCGGGTCGCCACCGGAGTCGGGCGGACGGCGTGGGTAGGACCCGCGATGGTGACTCGAGTCGGCATGTGGGGGAGAGGCTGTCGGATCTCCCCTAGCCCGGCTCCTGGCGCCGCCTCTGACCAGATATGCAGTCCTTGTTACGGGAACAGGCGCCGGGCCTGTGACGTATTTCATTCGCAGCTGGAGACAGACGGCTCGTGGGATCAGCGCGCTGGTTTCCAGCTGGTGGTGGGGGGCTCGTGCGAGGACTCGCGAGCACCCCACCGGCGCTGTTTGCTGACACCGCCTCTGTTGACACTATGGTGCTAACAGCGGTATTATCTGAGATAATAGTACCGTCTAGCTACGACCATGTGTATCACCGGGAGGTTCTGTTATTCTAAATCACCACCACGCCAATGGCGGCAATATCAGCATCGCTAATGCCGTCCCCCGCCGACAGTCCGAGCTCAAATAATTCCACCTCCGCCGTCCCTATAAAGGCACTACTGACGCCGCCTTCGCTGCCTCTGCGCCCTGCCTGGCACCGCCTCTGCTGGCGGACGGTGCCGCGTTCCGCCCCCCGCGGTCCAGCGGAGGGGGGGGGGGGTCGCCGCCGTCGCCACGGCTGCTTCTGCCGCCCCTGCGGCCGTCGCCGGCGCCGCCGGGCCACTCACAGAGGGCCGGGCCGACAACAAAAGGCCACCCGGCAATTACCTGCGGGAGCGGCTATTGCGCTGAGCGTCTGTTGGGCCCTCTGGAAACCGCCCAACACCGATAGATCCGCTGATTTGCGGTGGACACCAGAGAACCACAGCGACCATCGAGCTGCCCCGATGGATCATAAACAACACACAAATCAGCCCGCGATGGGTCAGCGTATTAGCTTGACATGCTCGGTCAATCACCCATTAACAGGCATTTATTCAGCCAGAAATGAAGCTACACGGCTAGGATTAAGAAACAGCAACAAAACCATATCAGCTTTGCGATTCAGTACCGGAAATAAATAAATAAAAAAAAATCGTAAAACAAGCCCGATCAATCGTAACCGCGTGTCCAATATTTACACAGTCGTTGATACCCGAGTAAATACTGCAGGGTCCACATTCAGCCACCACCGCTGACGACATCAGACTGACGGACACACCG